CGGTTCCCTGTGATCTTCATGGGGTACACCATGGGGTACAGGACAGCATAGTAGCTAGAAAAGGGATGGGGGGAGGCAAGAGAGAGGAGTCAGCGGAGAGAGAACACACCAAGATGGCACCTGCTGCTTTCTTGTGTCGGGGGCTCCCATGGTTGGGTTGGATGTTTCTAAAAGCAGCACCTTCTCCCAAGTCTCCCTGGACAAGTTATAGAGACTGCATCATGCTCCACAGTTCTGCAGAGCTCTTCAGCAGAGAAGAGCTCAATGCTGGCAAGACACGGAGCTCAAACAGTCCTGTTTCCAAGTCACCACACCAGAGCCCACTCATATTTGGGGGTGTGGCCAGTCTTGAGATGCCTACAAGGCTCCTGAGGGATGCTGCATCGGGCCATATCAATTCTGCTGCTGCTGACATGAATCCATTTAGATCAGTTTAGAGGGATCATTAAGAACCAGAATGATGTAGAAGCACTATGGGCTTCATTCAATCAATGGACATTTGCTGAAGGCTTGCGATGTGCGAAGCACTGTGCTACGTCCTGGAAATGCAGTTGAGAAGATGTGAGGAAGGCAGACCCCTGAGCCAAGTATGAGGGCCTGGAGCGGTAAGGGCCACATGGAGTCCTCATGGCAACTGTGAGCAGCAGGTAGTGTTGGAGGCACTGGCCCAGGACCAGCCCAGGCAGAAAGCTATCCTGGTGAGGTATGGAGATGTGAGTAAGCACTAGCTCAGCGGGGAGGCTGCATGGAGCTCCACTGCAGGAGAGAGAGTGCAAGAGTGCAGGATGGAGAGAGGAGGAGAGAAGTCGGCCATGTGGGCGGGGCTGGGGCATTAGAGCCTTGTAGGTCCAGCTAGGGACTGGCCCTTTAACTGGAAAGGGTGGGAGGTCTTAGACCACGGGGCTGAAAGTAACCATCTCCCTCCCAGCCCAGACATTTTATCCAAGGGAAATAGGATGTTCCCATGAGTGCAACATGTGGAAGGGACAGGTGGCCACACTGATGCTGCCTGGCACAGGCAGGATCTTGGGAAATGACTGTGGCTGTGTGCCTCACACATCGCCTGCGAAGCCGGCTCCTCCACAGGGACCGCCCTGAGTCACCCTTGGGCGACTGAACTGCCATGTGCTAACTGGAGGTGCTGCCTCCTTGGTCTTCCTAAGCAGGGGTGAGCCTGGGGCAGCTCTGAGCTGAGCCTTGAGCCCAGGCCAGGATCTATCCTGGAAAGAGAGCATTTCGGTCTGTGGGGCCTGAGGAGAAGATTACACAGTGGTTAGGGTGTCGATGACAGAATCACTGCACAGTGGCTGGGGTAAGGTGATTACTATCTTATGCTGCTATCTGGGCTTGTATCTTGCAAAGGCCATGCAGCCCAAGAGAAAAAGCATGCCTTTGGAGCTGGAAATTCAAGTTCAGAGGGAGGCTCTGATGTCTACTAGCTGTGTGGACTCAGCTAGCTGATGTAACCTCTCAGAGCTTCAGTTCCCTCATCTGGAAAATGGGAATTCTGGCACCCACATCACAGGTCTGCTCCTGGGAACAAACAAGGAAAAGCATGGAAAAAGCCGGGATGATGCCTACCCTTCAAGGGGGACTGCCCATCGACCTTTCCCCCTTCCTCCTGAAGACGAAAGCCCTACACTGCTCCTGTTCCTGTGATGACCCACAGGGGACGCTGGCCCTTCTGAGCCCCGCGGGGTGAACAAGCCACATGGTGGTCTTCCTTCCCCTTGCGGGTGACCTGCTGAGACTTGGACCTGTCTGACATCATTCTGGCAAATGAAATGTGAGGGGGTTGCTAGGGTGGGGCCGGGGGGAGGGGAGCGGTGGGTCTAGGAAGGTTTCCTTCACTTTTCAAAAGAAACAAGGCAGAGATTTCTCCTTTTCTTTAAAGAGCATGCAGGCGCTCCACCCTCCGTCACCTTGGGAGGGTACAGCCAGGTGAGGGAGCCAGGCCTGGTGAATGTTCACCTTCCTTCGACCAACCCTGTTTGGTGACCATAAAAGTGGTAACAATTAATGTGCTGTCCTCTGCCAGATTTCCTTCTGGCTCTTCTCAACACCCAGTTATTATTATTACTTGATGGCAAGATTTCTTCTTTATTGTAATAAATGGTACCCATATCACTCGCTGACTGAGGTTCAGGCACGGGCAGTTCCAGTGTGACATGACAGTGATTTCTCCCAGCTGCATCCTGAGTCCCACCAGGAAGCCGGGCAGTGAAGCGGGGTGCTGGCTCAGACAAGGTCAGCCTCCTACAGTCAGAAAAGCCCCAGAGGCACAGCCCTGCCCATGCACAGCCACATCCTCCAGGGGTTATTTTGTTTTTAAAGTGTATTTTCAGGGGTGGGGGATAAAATGTATGTACATTGAAATGCATGCATCTACACTTCTATCAAGATACAGAACACTGCCCAAGGCGAGTGGATCACGAGGTCAGGAGTTCAAGACCAATCTGGCCAACACAGCGAAACCCCATCTCTATTAAAAATACAAAAAATTAGCCAGGTGTGGTGCTGTACACCTGTAATTCCAGCTACTGGGGAAGTTGAGGCAGGAGAATCACATGAACCCAGGTTGTAGTGAGCTGAGATTGCACCATTGCATCCCAGCCCGGGTGGCAGTGTGATACTCTATCTCAAAAAAAAAAAAAAAAGAGAAGTAACTATATATACTTGGGAGACCAGAAGACCATGGCTGGGGTTTCAGAAAGCAGATTTCTGGACTGCGGTGTCCCCTGCCCGTTTCTTTCAGGATGCATACCAGGGCACCAGGGAGCTCTGCAGGCCTCATCAGCATGGCCATGAGCTGCTGAGTAATGGGAAGCTGCCTGGGAATCACAATGGAGCCTCTGGAATGTTTCTTCCCAGAAGAAATCTGTGCTTTGAGCCTTATGGCCACAGTCAGCCTGAGAGTGGCTGAGAGGACCACAGATTTCACCTGCCTCTGAGGGGCTATCCCAATAATGCCCAAGTTACCTGTGATCCTGTTGGAAATGCTGAAGAGCCTGGAATTCCTCTGTCGCTGCACAAACGGCTCCCGATAATACCGGTCCCCAAAGCACATGCCCAGTAGTTCTTTGCGAACCGTCTTGTTCCAGAGTCCATAGATCAGGGGGTGGCAGACAGCGCTGGCAAAGGACAGCCATGTGGCCCAAGTCTCCAGGCTCGGAGAGATGGAGCTCTTCCCCCAGAGTGCCTCAGAGGCAATGACAACCATGTAGGGGCCCCAGGTGACCATGAAGGCACCGAGGACCACCAGGATGGTGATGANAGGTGGGAAGAGGATCACTCGGGCCTAGGAGGTCAAGGCTGCTCATGATTGCTCCACTACAATCCAGCCTGGGTGACAAAGTAAGACCCTGTCTCAAAAAAAAAAAGAAAAAAAAAGATACAGAACAGTCCTACATCGCCTCAGAAAAAAATGGGTATGTATGTTCTCAATCACAGATATATGAAGTCCTTTATCGAAGCGGAAGCCTCATTTAGGCCTAATTGAAGATTCAAGGGAAAACAACAAAAGCAACTCCCCACGCCTGTGTTCGCTGATAATACAGACCAACAGAGGGGTTTTCTTTTGCTCTATTCTCCTGTGTTCGCTGATAATACAGACCAACAGAGGAGTTTTCTTTTGCTCTGTTCTCCTATCTTCTGAGGCTCTCAATCTTTTCTCCAACAACTAGTTTTTAGACATGAGCCCAATCACGACCCTTGAACCCCAAAGAGGCTTTCATGACATCACAGGTAACTGACAAGCTGTAATATGGGAAAGAGCTTTGGATGCTTCATGCTCCTGCCGCAAGACCAACCGCTCTGATAGCAAGCCCGCTCTTAATAAGTTGTCTTCAGTGGAAACAGAAACAGGATCTAAGCCAACTTCACCTACTGGAGTGGGGAACACATTACTGTACACGGAACAGCCTCCCAAAAGCACTAGTCACCTCTGCTAACACTACCCGTCCCGTGTTCTAGCTACTTTCATGTACTGAAATTCTATTTTTAAACTTGGAGTTTCACCCGCTGCGGTGTGGAATGAAAATATGAGAACTATTCTCCACAGACCTGGAACTCTGGCAGCTTCGCAGCAATGATAGATGTGACCACCGTTACAGACTTATTCTAACAGGTGTTCACAGTGGAACCAGTGGCAGGTCAAATGGTGTCCCCAGCAGGCCCTACTTCCACTTGGCCGGCTTAGGACATTGATGCACTGTGAACTTCACTCCAGGCAGCCAGTCCTTTTATGTCTGTCTTTGCTCTCTTTTCATGGGGCTACAAGACGGACTCTTTGGGTTCATATGTCCAGCCAGTTTCTTTAGCTAAGGTTCTCAGTTGGAAACCCCTGGGTATATGTGGCAATGTCTACAGACATTTTGGGCTGTCATGGCTGGGGAGATGTTCCAGCATGTGGTAGGTAGAAGCCAGGACACTGCTGTCTATCCTACAAGGCACAGGACAGCTCCTTACCACAGAGAATTATCTGGCCTGAAAAGTCAACAGTGCTAAGGTGGAGAAACTCTAGCTGGCTGCTGGGCTTGACTGGCAGCACTGAGTTGACATGCTATACAATGACAAAGCATCCAGGCCTGGGCATCTCAGAACCAGGGGAGTTACTTACCAGCCACACAGCCTTGGGCAAGTGACCTGTGAGACCTTAAGGTCTCAAAACCTCACTTTGCTCACCTGCAACATAGGGGCTAACAGGCTTGTCATGAGGGTTAGCTGAGCTAAATGTTGATAAACAGCATACATAGTGCAGTGCCTGGCACATGATAAGCGTGTAACACTTTATAGCCTAAATCACACCCACTGCCCTTGCTCTTCTCCACTTCTACTTTCTTTTCTTTCTTTCTTTGAGACAGAGTTTCACTCTTATCATCCAGGCTGGAATGCAATGGCACGATCTCAGCTCACTGCAACCTCTGCCTCTGGGTTCAAGTGAGTCTCTTGCCTCAGCCTCCTGAGTAGCTGGGATTATAGGCACCTGCCACCATGCCCAGCTAATTTTTTTATTTTAATAGAGACAGGATTTCATCATGTTGGCCAGGCTGGTCTTGAACTCCTGACTTCAGGTGATCCGCCCACCTTGGCCTCCCAAAGTGCAGGGATTACAGGCATGAGCCACCACGCCCAGCCTCAGCATGTTTACTCATCTTATTCAGCTATGTATTCCCAGCACCAACAACTGTGATAGGCATATAATAGGAGCTCAATAATTGCTTACCAAGTGAATATGTGGAAGCTGCTCCTTCAGTGAGAAGGGGCCTCTCCGTCTCTTACCTACCTGTGCTCTCCTACTTGCTGTTTAGGAGCCTAGCTCAAATGCCACCTTCTCCCTGAAGAACTTGCTGCCCAGCCCATCGGCAGTGATGGCTGGTGGAGTTGTCTATGGCAGTTATTTCTACTTTTGTGTTAAATCAGCACCCACAAGTCAGCCTCTGCCACTGGACTGTAAACCCCTGGTGGGCAGGATCTGTGTCCTGCTCATGCTTATAGCCCACCACCCCAAGGATTCGGCATGGGCCTTTCCTGGAATACACATCCAACCAATATTCCCAGTGTCAAATGAGGCACTGAAGGAGGTAAATCCTCTCTCGGATGAAGTACTTTGCTGGCATGATTCGAGGATTTGTCGTGCTTGCTGGTAGAAAGTCTCATTCTCACTCATCTAGACCACAGATTTAAGCAAGCAGCTTACAGTGTCCTGGAACTAACCCTGCAGATGCCCCCAGCATGCTCACTGAGCATCCATACAGACACAGTTCTGAGAGGGGCACCTAGAGACCAGCTCTCCATCTCTGCAGCTAAACTGTTTATCCTCACTCCATGTTCCACGGGACCCAGGGCCCAAGAAGGGATGTTCAACACTTAATAATTCACAAAAATAAAAGTTAAAACATTGAGATCCCATTCCTCCCCACTGCCAATAAATTTCCAAACTTTCTTTAAAAAAAAGTTTGGAAATTTTTTTCCAAACTGATAGGATATTGACAAACAGCTGCTGAAATACAAATTCGTACAACTTTCTGAAGGGTCATTTGCTCTCTATATATATCAAGAATCTTGAAAGCATGTTTATTGTTACTGAGAATACAGCAATTCCACAAACACAGATGCTCCTCAGAATGCCATAGAGAATAGCGAGCTATGTGAAGCCACCTAAACCAGTAATAGGAGCCTGTAAAAATAATTTATAAACCTCCACAGGATGGAATAGCCCATGACCGTGAAACATCACCTTCTTCAAGAATATCTGCAAAGAGAAAATGCTCACAATCACCTAAATGAAAAAAAGGAGGTCAGAAAACCATAGGTGCCAGAAGCCTGTTTCAAAAATTTGCTGTATACAACCAAAAATTACTGGAAGCAAATATTCTAAAACCATCAACAGTGATTGCTTCTGGTTGATTAGATCATGAGTGTTTCTAATTTCATTCATTGTATTTTCTTTATTACTTTTATCACTTAAGAAAAAAAAAAAAGAAGCTAATTGATTCATTTTGACCAGTGGCTTCATTGGTTCTGCCTCCGCCACGTAGCCACAAAGAGCTGCCAGGTTCCAGCCTCAGGTCTAACTGCAGTCTGTGCTCCGGTGGGCAGTTCCACTACCACTCATCGGCTGAAAAACTGACAGTCTCAAAAAAGCCCGGGGACTTGTCTCACCCAGTGACAACACCCCTGGCTCGCCCCGCTCCATGTTTTCCCTGACCCTACGACTTACTCCCCTCCCCAGTTCCTGTAAATCACACATACCCTGAATCTATCCTCCCTGTCCTCATGAGGCCCGACCTATGCCTGTGATGAATGAAGCGGCCCTTAGCAAAATTCTAATAAATGCACTCATTTGTGGGAAACTCGCTGCCAAAGCCCACAAGACTTGTACAACAAAATCTGACAGCTTAATGTGGGAACCTGAAGAACCCGCAATACGCCACTCAGGAACATCAGCCGCACCTGACCTCCTTGTGCACTAGAGACGTTGAGGGCAGGGGCAGCCGAGCTACCACACGGGCACACTGCCTCTCCCAGGTGTCACTGCTTGTATTCTCTGGCTGTCTTCCTTCCCCTTGCTCTCCTTCCAGTCCTGGACTGTGGGGAGTGAGGATGTGTTGAGAATAAATTATATTGTTTGCTAAGAAGAACGATGACAAGGAAAACCTAGCCACCACCCTCTCCCCCAAAGTGGAAAACTACTTGGGGCATTCTAAAGTAGCAAGATAGTATCTGCATATTATACACCAGTTAAAACAATTCTTTAAGTGCGGGATATGTGACCCTGCACCATGGCGCCCTTGTGGAGAATACTTTTTAGTTTGTCTATGATTAGTGGTAAGCAGGCACCAGCTGCCTACCTGGTTTATCTTGGTGCTATGAGAAAACGCAGAACACCTGTGGTGATGATTATTAACCACCTCATAGCACCAAGAAATATGTGGGTCAGAGTCTGCTCAAGGCCCTCAGCCCAGAATGCTGTCAGTCCCCTGAAGCTCTCAGCTCAGAAGGCTGTTGGCCCCCCCGGATAGTCCCACTTTGTTATTCTATCTGGGTGTTTGCCTCCAATTCCTTCAGCGCTGCCTGGGTGGGGGTCTCTACAGCTGAGCTGGACTTGGTAAGGGCGCTCCCTGTTTGGGATCCACTGGTCAACACCAAAGCAAGACAGAGCAGGCGTCACACTGGGAGAAACAGCAGCAGAGTCAAGGGCCCCGGCCCCAATGCTGCTCGGAACTGAAACCTGCCTCGGCTTTGGCTTCTTCATCGACAAACCAAGAATCAGAGGTTTCTAGAATGTTTTATTTTAGGCAATGGAACCTCTTTCTAAAATATAAAATTGTATGCAACATACACAGACAAAACGAGACATAGTCTGGTTGAAGATGTGGCTGCAGAGGCAGAACTCTATCTGGTCATCCTCCCCTGGCAGGGGGCCCTGACACTCTCCAGGGAACTAAGGCAGTCAGAGGGACACTGCACCAAGATGAGCTTCCATCAGTAATCCCTCAATTTTCTAAGTCTGAGGCATGCTTACCGGTCGATGGCAATGACCCCGAGGGTTAGCATGCTGGCTGAGCTGATCAGCAGGTAGAGGAGGGCGGAGAAGTTGCACCAGACGACACCAAAGATCCATTCCCTGCGGATACAGCTTGTCACCACGAAAGGCAGCACCAACACGGACAGCAGGAAGTTGGACAGGGTCAGGCTGAAGACGAACTTGTTGCTGAGAGTAAGGAGGTAGGACTTCTTGTACAAGGTGACCACGATGACCAGGTTGCCCAGGCAGACAAAAATGGTGATGACAATGATGGCGATGAACTGGGTGAGGATGACCCCCTCTTCGCCGCCCTCCTCCTCAGTGAGGTTACTCAGCTCCTTCCTGCAGCCGAGGGAGGAGTTGAGGCTCATGGTCAGTGCACCTCGGCATGGGGGGGGCAGAGCATGCTGGATGACTGGAAAGATAAGTCAGGACCAGGGGACAGGAAAAGATTCATCAAATCACATCATCTCCACTTTAGGGAAGAAAGATGAGGTTTAAAGGCTGTGCCTCAGGTCACCCAGCTAGTGCAGACTCTCAGCCGGTCTTCCCCATGCACTGCATAAGCGGGCCATTTCCTACAACCAACTCTGTGTGAAACTGATTATGTCCCCCTGACCAGTGTCTTCCTCTGGTCTAACCCATCCTATCCATTTTCCCAAGGCCAGTGATTCAAAACCTTTAATGTGCTTAAGAATCCTCTGAAGTGCCAGTGCAGAAAGCTGATCCTTGAGCTCCACCACAAGAGGTTCTGGGCTCAGAGATCACAGGCACAGCCTAGGAATCTGCATTTTAAACAAGCAGGCTGGGGCGGGGCGGGGCGGCAAGGGGGGCAGCTGTTACAAGTGGTCTGTGGGAGACACTCTGCAGACTGCTGTGTTTAGACCCTGGCTACTCAGGGTGGGCCCTGAACCAGCAGGATCACTGTCACTCAGGAGCTCACTAGAGAGGCAGAACCTCAGGCTCCGCAGCTCCATCTACAGAATCAAATCCACATTTTAGCCCCACCGCCAGTCAGTTTTGGTGCTCGTAACAGTTCGACAGTAAGATTCTCATGGGAATCATTCTGACCTCCCTGAGTACAGTTTATACGGCGACATCATGACTGCTGTCATCAGATACGGTGAGGGAGGGGAAACACAACTGTAAATGGGGAAGTGGAGGCACCATTTGAGGTCTCAGCCCACAGACATCACTGTCTATAAGGTGCCGTCCCTGCTCTCAGGAGACTGGCTGGGATCGCTGGCTAAGTCTCCAGGCTGACACTCGTTAACATTCAATCCTACAGACCAATGTTTCTCCAACACTCTTCATATACTTCAGTGAGCCAAAAAACTCCACAGATCACTGTCCCCACCTGCTCTCGTTCTCTGCACACAGAAGACACCAAAAAGAAAGGAACGATTGTTCTCCATGATCAAGACAAAAACTCTGGTGCCTAATCTGCCTACACACAGCAGTGGGGTTATCCCCACAACCCTCGTGGTAGGTCCGTGGCCTCTACTCAAACATTCTTTGTCCAGAGGGAGTGTGTGGGTTAATAAGGCAGCCCTTTCCCTCACCAGCAGTCTTAAGTGCCAGTGAGAAAGTTTCCCTTATAGTATAGTGGTTTCCAGACCCTTCACTAACTTAGCTTCCCTGCTTTATACTTGCTCTCAGACGTCTATGACCCTCTTGATGTGGGTCCCCAAAATTGAACACACCATTCTAGATGTCAAGTCCAAAAGGGCAATTTTCTCCATGATCAGAATAATCTCTTTCCACTATTCACTGTAAAAATACATTTTCTGGAGGCAGGGTACACGGAGGCTCACAGTGGTAATCCCAGCACTTTGGGAGGCCCATGCAGGCAGATTGCTTGAGCTCAGGAGTTCGAGAACAAGCCCAGGCAACATGGCGAAACCCTGTCTCTACAGAAAAATACAAAGAAAATTATCTGGGAATGGTGGTTCATGCCTGTATTCCCAGCTACTTGGCAGGCGGAGGCGGGAGGATCCCTTGAACCCAGAGTTCGAGGCTGCAGTGAGCTATTTGTGTCACTGAGCTCTAACCTGAGGGATAGTCCGAGACCCTGTCTCAAAAAATTTTCTTATAGCAACGAACTAATTTTGTTGGGCTTATATAAGTGTGTGATCAACTAAACCCCAAAGTTTATACATACATAAATTTCTATGAAGGCAGATGTCCCTAATTTTGAAAATATGGAATTAATGTTTTTAAGCCTAAGTATAAAACGTTATTTCTACTAAATTTCCCTTTACATATTTAGGCCCGTATTTCCAGGCTGCCAAAATATTCTGAATTTTGATTCAGTTAAGCAACATATTTGTTATTCCAGCTTTGTGCTATGAGTATACTTTCTAGGTATGCCTAGAAGCCGGGCACAGTGGCTCACGCCTGTAATCCCAGCACTTTGAGAGGCCAAGGCAGGTGGATCACCTAAGGTCAGGAGTTCGAGACCAGCCTAGCTAACATGATGAAACCTCATCTCTACTAAAAATACAAATATTAGCTGGATGTGGTAGTGGGCACCTGTAATCCCAGCTACTCAGGAGGCTTAGGCAGGAGAATTGCTTGAACCCAGGAGGCTGAGGTTGAGTGAGCCGAGATCATGCTAGTGCACCCCAGCCTGGGTGACAAGAGTGAAAATCCATCTCAAAAAGAAAGAAAGAAAGAAAAAGAACCAGACATCATAATGAAAGAACAAGATATCATAAAACAAAAAGCAACAACAAAAAAACGCAGTTGTAAAAAAGAACCAAATAGAACTTCTAGAAATTAAAATTTTAGTCATCAATATTACAAACTCATGGGTATGTTAAACAGCAAATATAGATAAAGAGAAAGATGGTTAACTGAGATGGTTCCTAGAAGAGGTCCAAGGAAATTACTCAGAATGCAGTCAGAAAAATTAAGAAATTAAAACTATGAAACAAAAGTCAAAATACAAGTCAAAATACTGGAAGAACAGGCTGAGAAAATCCAACATATGTCCAACAGAAGGGCAGAGAGAATGAAACGAGCAGACACTGTTGGGCACTTACCCAGCAGCCATTCTTAGTTTGTTCTTACTGGCAGACCTCGAACTTTGTTTGGGTGTCTAATCCTCCTCCAAGTGCCCCAGAGAAGGCTGATCTTATCCCTAGTTCTGGAATACAGATCCTGATCGGTCTGAACTAATCCCTGTGTTCCCTTTCTTCTTGCAGTTCTGGCAGTCTCCGCCTGTAGTTAGGCAGGAGGAAACGTCTTTGATGGGGGAAAGGGGGAAGATTTTTGGGTAAAGCTGCTTTGATCTCACAAAGACACAAGGAAGATAAATCTCTCTAATGACCCTGGTGGCAAAGACAGAAAGGGAGCCTGGAGCTGTGGCAACCATCTTGAGACCATTAGGGATGCAAAGCCAGCATGCTGAGCATGGCTGAAAAGAAAGGCTGATCCTTGGGCTAATAAATTAATAAATCCTGAAGTCAGTTTTCTCCTGGCTTTTTGTTATGTGAAGCAATACGAGTTTAAAAATTGTTTTTAAAGCTATTTTGAGTTGGGTTTCTGTTACTTGAGTCACACGTATCCAGCCTACTAGGTTAACAAGACTATAGAGGTATGACTGAACATTTTCTAGGATTAAAGAAACTCACGAGTCCTCAAATTGAAAGAGCATATCAAGTTCTGAAAACAAATTTTTGAAAAGCCTATACCAAAACTCATCATAATAAAAAATGAAAACACCCACATACAGAGAAATGGAAAAAGCAGTTTTGCCTATAGAGTAACAATTAGATAAACAGTAGACTCTTCAATAGCAAAAGTAAAAAAAGAGGCCAGAAAATAGTGGAATAATATAAGAAAAAGAACCTTTGCCCTAAAGCTCCATATCATTCAAGAGAGGGTAAATATACTTTTGGGGTGAACAAAACCTGAATGGTTACAAATGACGACTCTCAAGTGATCTGGTTAAGGATACATTTCATGAAGAAGGAAACTGAATCCAGAGATAAGGGGTAAGGTACAAGAATCAACTGTTAGAAAAAAATTTAGTAAATACGTAGATAAATCTAAATAAGAGCAATAAAAAATAAAATGTAGGCCTGGTGCAGTGGCTCATGCCTGTAATTCCAGCACTTTGGGAAGCTGAGTAGGCGGATCACTTGAGGTCAGGAGTTCGAGACCAGCCTGGCCAGCATGGTGAAACTCGGTCTCTATTAAAAATACAGAAATTAGCCAGGAGTGGTGGTGGATGCCTTTAATACCAGCTACTCAGGAGGCTGAGGCAGGAGAATCACTGGAACCCAGGAGGTAGAGGCTGCAGTGAGCTGAGATGGCACCATAGCACTACAGTCTGGGCGACAGAGCAAGACTCCATCTTAGCAAGCACGTCAGTGACCTCAGTATCGGAGAGCCCAGAGTTGGCTGCAGTCTTTGAGGCCTTCTGGTCCAACCTTCCTAAGGAGACAGAGGGGATTCATGTGGGCCTAAGAGCTGCCCACTCAGTGAAATCCAAAATCCCAGTCTCTGCCACGAGGTCTGGAGTACAGAAGGCACAAGTCCCAGCAAATCCCTCAGGGTGTATCTTTAAAGAACAAGAGAAGGGGTTTGGAATGCCCCAGCCAAAGGAGGCTTCCTGGCGGGCAGCCCACTTACCCAGGGCCCAACAAGCCAGGGCCCATTGAACGGAAGCGAGCTCACGTGTGACTCACATTTCCACTCTCTGGGGCTGCTCTGCTGCAGACACAAAGGTGTTTCAGAACTCCCACATCCTGCCCCGACCAAATAAATCACCTTGCACTGCTTCTCCAAGAAACATCTAGAAAAAGGTTTTAATAAGCCCATCAGAAATTATCCCTGAGAAAGAGAGCTATCCGTCTCAGACAGGTCATCAGGGAAGTTGATCACTGACTCATCCTTGCCACCACAGCTCACGTGTTGTGGTCACTCCTCTTTGGGAAGTGTCTTCAGTCTTCTTGTGCATTTCCAGAGATAGTAAATTCTTTGCCTGATTAGCCTACTGGTAGCGGCCTCAGGTCAATCAAAGCCAAATCTTATCACTCAAGTCATTAAAGTGATATTAATCATTTTGTAATCAGTCCAAGTGCCCATCAATGATAGACTGGATAAAGAAAAAATGGTCCTTATGCACCATGGAATACTATGTAGCCATAAAATAGAACGAGATAGGTCTTTGTAGGGACAAGGATGGAGCTGGAGGCCTTTATCCTTACCAAACTAATGCAGAAACAGAAAACCAAATAGCACATGTTCTCACTCATAAGTGGAAGTTAAATGATGAGAACACGTGGACACAAAGAGAGAAACAACAGACACTAAGGCCTCCTTGAGGGTGGAGGGTGGGAGGAGGGAGAGGAGCAGAAAAAATAACCAGTGGGTACTAGACTTAGTACCTGGGTGAAAAAATAATCA